TTCCAAGTTGCAGGGGAAGCAGACCATCCTCGGGCGCCTTCGAAGGAGGCGCCCTCAGCAGGCAGTTCCCCTGGATCCTGCCCGTCATGAAGGGCCTCCCCCTCCCCGTCGTGTCCGCCATCAACCCCGCCGTGGGACACCTGTTCTGGTGGCAGCAGAGCGTCAGGAAGCAGGTGGGGCCCATCCTTGAGGGGGGGGCCGACCGTGACAGTGCCGGCGCCCGCCAAACCATATTCCATGCGCTACGGGATAGCCCCCTGCCGCAGCAGGAAAAGACGCTGGATAGGCTCTGCGACGAGGCCGAGATCATGACAGGGGCCGGGTCGGAGACGACAGCGCAGGCCATGACGCGGCTCATGTTCTATCTCAAGCACGCGCCTGAGACGCTCGTCGAGGTGAGGCGGGAGTTGGACGGCGTCGTGCGGAAGGGAGGGCCGGTTCCCTCGTGGATCGAGCTGCAGCGGCTGCCGTATCTTGTGAGATTTGTTACTTGCCTGGTCATGACATGGGCCACACGGCTGACGGCTGACGGCTGACGACTGACGACAACAGAGCGCCGCCATCAAAGAGGCTATCCGCCTGTCGTACGGTGTGACGACGCGCCTTCCGAGAATTTGCCACGAGGATATCCGATACAAGGACTGGATCATCCCGGCCGGGGTACGCCGCTTGTGCCTTTGCCGATCGGGAAAACTTCCACTAAGCAGCGCAGACACCCGTCTCCATGACGCCCCACGATGTCCTCACCGATCCGGACGTCTTCCCTGAACCTCATACGTACCGCCCCGAGCGATGGCTGGAGGCCGGCACGGCGGGGCGCAAGCTCGACAGGTATTTCGTGCCGTTTGGCAAGGGCGCGCGGCAGTGTCCGGGAATGAAGTGAGTGTCGGGCCTCTCTCTCTGCCATTTGCCACAACAAGATATTCACTGCATCTCTTACAGCCTCGCCCACGCGGAACTGTTCCTCACAGCGTCGACAATCATCTCGCGCTTCGACTGGGACCTGTACGAGACGGGCCTCGACGACGTCACATGCCAGCACGATTTCTTCGTGGCTGTGGGTAAGCTGGATAGCAAGGGCGTACGTGCGACGCTACGGCCCCGGAAGTGATGTTGTCCGATATCGAGGACCATTGTCGGGAAAGGCTGCATTTCTAGCCTTGGCTCCGCGAGATGGAACATACTGACCAGAGTCCTGCACGAGGTCGGCATGTTCTTTGTAGCATCGACTTCAAGATCCTCGGCAGCTTCAAGTATAACATTGTGTCGCATCATAGAGCGGCAGGGGTGACGGAGGGTTCGACAAGGGCGGAAGCCGGCAAGATTATCCTTCCGCAGTGGATGCACAATGGTGCCATGGACAGAAACTGAGGGTTGGTCCTCGTAGCATTCCGAGTAGGCCAGCAATAGCAGGAAATCTCTCATGTTCTGTGATGTTGTAATGTTGTCTGTGAGCTCGCAACGTCTTTGAGGGCCTTGTAACAGCCTTAGACAGGCACCCATAGGCACCCATGTTCAACCGCCTGGCTATCTCTGTCAACGGCGGCCCTGGAGCGTTCTTCTCATGGCTTATGCATGGGAGTTGAACGGGGTCGCAAAGAGGGAGAAGATTGTTCCATGTTAAACCAAGCTTCGTCGTCGCCTGCAATGGGGCCAAACGAAAGCCTACAGCGGGATGCTACCTCTCGCTCGCCATCCGCTGTTCTAGACGATGCGAAGGTCTTGCCTTGACGCAGCAGCACACACCCACAGAGGCTCGTGCCAGGCGCTGCACGCAGGGCAAATCGACACGACGTCAATTGGTGTGGGCCTGGTGGGGGACATGGGAACACACAATACAGGCCTTCATTGCGTTCGAGTAATGACCCGGGTCGTGATTTCCGGTGATTTCCATGCGGAGCATCACTGAGCACCTAGAGAGAAGAGAGAGGTACCTCGAGGGAGGCGACTGACGTGACGTGACCCCGAGCCCAGAGCAGCGAGCTGACTCACCCACAACTGACGACATCTGTCCGACACCGGTGGCAGACCAGCAGCCAGAGTTCGCTCAACCCAACCTCAGCATTCGAGAGAAAGAGGCACTTATGCGCAGGCAAGCCACCCACAAAAGCCCCTTCGTGACCTTCTCTTTTCTTCTCTTCTCCGTCCTCACTGTCATCCTGGCTATCTTTGCTCTTCGAGCTCTGCCGCGGCTCTCCCTCATCGCCAACCACCTGCCCCTCGTGCCCCTCGTGCCCCTCCGACCCCTCACCACCACCATCACCACCACCACCACCACCACCAACAAACCAGCAGTGAAGCCGCCCACCATGGCGCCCTACGCGAAAGAACTCGAGATCGCCCAGCTCGCCGTCCAGCGCGCCGCCATCCTCACGAAGCGCGTCTTCCACGAAAAAGCCAAGGGCACCGTCGACAAGAACGACAAGTCTCCCGTCACCATTGGCGACTTTGGCGCCCAGGCCCTCATCATCGCCGCCCTGCGCCACCACTTCCCCGAAGACGAGATTGTCGCCGAGGAGGAGGCCGCCCAGCTGCGCGAGGACGACAAGCTCAAGAACCAGATCTGGGACCTCGTGCGCGAGACGCGCCTCCGTGACCCCGCCGCCGAGCAGCGCCTCGGCGGCGGCATCCAGACGGCCGACGAAATGCTCGACCTCATCGACGCCGGCAACAGCAAGGGCGGCGCCCAGGGCCGCATCTGGGCCATCGACCCCATCGACGGCACCAAGGGCTTCCTGCGCGGCGGCCAGTACGCCGTGTGCCTCGGCCTCATGGTCGACGGCGACGTCAAGGTCGGCGTCCTCGGCTGCCCGAACCTGCCCGTCGACGACGCCGCGCCGCTGACGGCCGACATGGGCGCCAACGCCACCGACGACGAGGGCCGCGGCGTGCTCTTCTCCGCCGTCCAAGGCCAGGGCGCCACCTCCTTCCCCCTGCGCGACGGCGCCCTCGCCCTCGCCGCCGCCGCCGACGCCCGCGCCATCGCCATGCGGCCCCTGTCCGACATGGCCGCCGCCACCTTCTGCGAGAGCGTCGAGGCCGGCCACAGCGCCCACGGCGACCAGGCCCAGATCGCCCAGCGCCTCGGCATCACCCGCCCCAGCGTCCGCATGGACAGCCAGAGCAAGTACGGCAGCATCGCCCGCGGCGCCGGCGACATTTACCTGCGCCTGCCCGTCAGCGCCTCCTACCAGGAGAGATCTGGGACCACGCCGCCGGCGACCTCATTGTGCGCGAGGCCGGCGGCCACGTCACCGACATTGCCGGCCAGAGGCTCGACTTCTCCGTCGGCCGCACCCTCGCCAAGAACAAGGGCGTCGTGGCCGCCCCGGCCGCCGTGCACGCCGAGGTGCTCAGGGTCGTGCAGGAGGTGCTGAACCAGAAGACGGCGGCGTAGATGTCACGAGGAACAGTCCCAAATAGAAGAACGATAAAATAGAAACAGAGAACAAAAAAACCCATGTCGAGCATTGTACAATGCGGAAAAAAATAACGAAGCGTGGTGTGACAATAGTATACACATCTGCATATGGTGGGACAAGAATACACAGAGATACACGGCCCCAAGCCCAGCTGCGGGCCAGACCACACTTCCACCACACAGCTCTCCCTCCCCCTCCCTTGTCCCTCCCCTCCTTCTCCTCCGCTCTCCGCCGCTGCGGCTACTGCTGCTGCAGTCCCGCGTCTCGGCGACTCGTCTATTTGATCTTCTTCTGCTTGAGCTTGATCGTCTGGTCGTTGACGAACACGCCCTTGCCCTTGTAGGGCTCCGGCGGGCGGTACTTGCGCACGCGGCCCGCGAAGCTCATAATCTCCTCGCGGTCGATGCCCTCGATCAAGATGCGCGTCGGCGTCGGCGTCGTGACCGTGACGCCCTTGGGGATCGGCTCCTCGATCGGGTGCGTGAAACCGAGCTTGAGGCAGAGGAACAGCTGGCCGGGGAACGTCGCCTTGCCGCCGCGCTGCTCGACCGACGCACGGTAGCCCACGCCCACGAGACGGAGGACCGCCGTGTGGCCCTCCGAGACGCCAATGATGTAGCGGTTGAGGTACGCCCAGGTTGTGCCTGTGTTTCCGTAACAGAGGGGCCGAGTCAGTCTTTCCGTCGTCTCGTTGGGCGAAAGAAAAAAAGGGGGTGGGAGAATACGCACCCCACATCTCCTTCTGCTCCTTCACCGTGTCGTCCTCGATTGTGAGGGTGGCCTTTCTCGCCTCCGTGTCGTGATCGATCTTGAGGAAGGGGGGGATCTCGAGATCAAGCTTTCCTGTTGCCAGAAAAGCTTCGTCAGCTAAATGGTCCCATCGTGCCATACGCCACCTCCCCGGGAGCTCAAACCCACCCAACGGTCCTGACACGGACACCGTCCGCTTGGCAATCTTCAAGTATGATGTCGCATCCCGCTTCACTCTGGGCTCGCCAATGACGATGTCGACGCCGGGAGGGATCGAGAGAGGCGTCCGGCCGAGCTTCGACGACCGATGTGTCGATGCAGAGAATTGTCGTCGCGACGTCGTCTGGAAGGCGGGAACGAGGAAAGTCGGTAATGAAACGGATGACGAGGACCCTAAGGCCTGCCTCAAGGCTAACCCTCGGCCTGGAGCGAACATGATGGGCAATTGGGCTGGATGATCACCACGTCGACGGATCGCGTTTTCGTTCGAGGCATCGAGAGACGAGTTCAGAAGCTTTTCGCCGGCTTAGTCATGGGTGCATGCACAGACCACCGTATGGCTACTTGCTGAGACCCAGTAATTATTTCACGGCCCAGAACCACCAGAAGACAGGGCCGAGAGACAATGCTACGACTCTGATGGCTATTACGCTGGCAATTTGGTGGCATCACTCATCGCATGGTTGATCAGAGTAACGTGTGTGCAGGAGCGACGTTGCATGAATAGAATTGTGATGTAGTGTCGTACTTTTTATTAAGACGCCACTCACACTACTAAGAGGTATATGTAGAAGGCCCCCGTATCGGTTTCTTGGCCACAGGCCCGAATTGAAAGTCCACATTCTGGACTGATCGCTTGTCACCGCGCTTGATCATCAATCGCCACTGCAGAAGGACTGCATAGCAATGCATCGAGAGAAGCCATCTAAGGCTCCTCGTCGAGAGGAGCCTCCTCCTCGTACTCCTCCTCCTCCTCATCGACACCAGCATCCTGGTACTGCTGGTACTCCGAGACAAGATCGTTCATGTTGGACTCAGCCTCAGTGAACTCCATCTCGTCCATACCCTCACCAGTGTACCAGTGAAGGAAAGCCTTGCGCCGGAACATGGCAGTGAACTGCTCGCCGATACGCTTGAAGAGCTCCTGGATGGCGGTGGAGTTACCGACGAAGGTGGAGGACATCTTGAGGCCACGGGGAGGGATGGAGCAAAGGGCGGTCTGGACGTTGTTGGGGATCCACTCAACGAAGTACGAAGAGTTCTTGCTCTGGACGTTGCGCATCTGGTCCTCGACCTCCTTCATGGCAACCTTGCCACGGCTGGTGAAGGGAAACTTTGTTAGAAAAGAGCAAATTTGGACGAGCTTAGGGGGGGTGGTAGAGCTTACAAGATGGCGGAGCAGGTCAGGTAGCGACCGTTACGGAAGTCAGAGGCGGCCATCATGTTCTTGGGGTCGAACATCTGCTGGGTGAGCTCAGGAACGCTGACGGCACGGAAAGAGTGCGAGCCGCGGCTGGTCAGAGGAGCGAAGCCGACCATGAAGAAGTGGAGACGGGGGAAGGGAACCATGTTGACGGCGAGCTTGCGGAGATCGGAGTTGAGCTGGCCGGGGAAACGAAGCGAGGTCGAGACGCCGGACATGACGGCGGAAACGAGGTGGTTAAGGTCGCCGTACGAGGGGTTGGACAGCTTGAGGGTGCGGATGCAAATGTCGTAGAGAGCCTCGTTGTCAATGCAGAAGGTCTCGTCGGAGTTCTCAACGAGCTGGTGCACGGAGAGGGTGGCGTTGTAGGGCTCGACAACGGTGTCGGAAACCTTGGGCGAGGGAACGACCGAGAAGGTAGCCATCATGCGGTCAGGGAACTCCTCGCGGATCTTGGAGATCAGCAGAGTACCCATACCGGCACCGGTACCACCACCGAGGGAGTGGGTGATCTGGAAACCCTGGAGGCAATCGCAGCCCTCAGCCTCACGACGGACGACATCGAGAACCTGGTCGACGAGCTCGGCACCCTCAGTGTAGTGACCCTTTGCCCAGTTGTTGCCGGCGCCGGACTGGCCGAAGACGAAGTTGTCGGGGCGGAAGAGCTGGCCGAAGGGACCAGCGCGGACGGCGTCCATGGTACCGGGCTCGAGATCGACGAGGACGGCACGGGGAACGTACTTGTTGCCAGAGGCCTGCAAAGAAAGAAAACCATGAGCAAATGCTGCTGAGAATTATCCATCGGACTGTTGTTTTGACATACCTCGTTGAAGTAGACGTTCATGCGCTCGAGCTGGAGCTCGGAAGTGCCGTTGTAGCTGTCATCGCGTCAGTAACCGGTCTACAGCAACGAAATGGCCCCGTAGGGTTTCGTGACTGGGAGGGAAAGCATACACGCCATTGCTGTCGAGGCCGTGCTCGCCAGAGATGTTCTGCCAGAAAGCAGCACCGATCTGGTTACCCTGTTCATCCAGTGA